ATAATGTTATTCTACGACCTAACGTCAAACCTTTTTTAAAAACTTTAAGTTTTTAATATTCTGTTGTAGAAAATGGTTAGAAAAGTATATTTACATTCCCCTTTTGTTTTTACTTCTTGTTTAATACAGCAATTGTAGCAACTTGATCACTGAGTTTTGCAGCTCTCTGCTGCAGGCAGACTGTTTGTTGTCGAGTGAATAATGCGCATGCGAGGTTTTTCTTGGTGGAAACATTCTAACTACGCATGCTTATACAGCAGGTTCTTGGTCAGAAAGCGTAACGGTCGTACATACAAACAAGAAGAATAATAGTATAGTTAATTAAACTATACGTAAGTTTATTTCTTTGCTGCTTATTTATGTTTCTAAGAACTGAAAATATTTTCATAAGAATACTCAAAGTTATCTCTGACTAAAATTGTAACATATTTAAAAATTTTTCACGTCGGCTGCCAGTCTAAGTACAAGATATTTTTCTCTGTGCGCCAAGAGTTCACAGTCTCTCAGAGATTTATTAAGATATATCAAGTAGGCATTCTTGGCACAATTCAGATTCTTAGATTTCCGCTACCTTTTTGAATGTAACTGTTACTTCATGATGACTCCGTACTATTGGTCAAAATGTCGTAATTATTAAATTCAGGACTTCTTTATCGTAAAAGCTATAAAATACTAACATGTCGTTAGTATTTGAGAAAAGCCATGGCATGAATGTTACCATGGCAATATTTAATTAATGTTTGTATTTGTAGTTTAGCTTAGAAGTAATCCATTATTGGCTGAGGCAAAATTAGGATTGGTAAAGACTCCAGCTGTGAACCAGAAAAAAGCTTCAACAGTAATTTATAGACCAATCAAATAAAAACACTCACATCTAACAATACTATATGTTAGTGTAAGGGCATCTGGCTATTTTTGTTTTTATGAAAAAAATAGGGTGTTGATCCTTCATACATGCAAACATACACAGTCTCACAACCCACACATATTCATTCAACACTGAAGAATACAGTTACACAATTTCTCAGCCATTTTCATGGGCTTGGATGCCATTTCTTTCTTTTGAACCAATATTTCAACAAATACATCTTAATTACTAAGCTTGATAAATTATAGTGGAATTTTATGGTATTGATGTAGTAATTTATGATTTTTAGTTATTCAAATTTATATCATATAACCTAAAAAAATATTTTATTTCATATCCTCCATGTGCAAAACTTTTAAAGGCTTGGCAACCTACGTCAAGCAGCAACAGAGTACAAATGTTGGACCATTGTGCTGCTCTCGATTAGAAACAAACAAACCTTCTACCTAGTTCTGCGAGTCAGAGTGGTCCATATAAATAGCACATTGAGTTCCTAGATTGTATTAAACTACTCTTTTTATTTATTATTATTATTACTATTCAAGTATTCATAAAGTTAACATATTTTCTAATGAAAGGTAACGAGTTCAACTCGTATACTTATTTAGCTCAAACTGAAAAGCATATAACTTCAGTATGTGATCAAAGATTTTTTTTTAAAAATGAAAGAAACTTGTGTTATTAAACTATTAATCTTAAGTTCTTACCTTTTCAGGCAAGCAATACATCATTAGAAGTAGAAACATACATGAGTTTAAATTTATAAATGTTCTGGTATTTCGTTGCTCAGGAAATTGATTTATCTTTAATAAACTTTTTGTCGGTAGTACTGACTGTGGGAGGTTTTGTTTATTTTCTAGGAATCTCCACAGTTGACTTGTAGCTCAGATTGCCTTGTAAAAGAAAATCCAACAAATGCAAAGTGTCATGATCAAAAATGCAGTAAAGAGTCCGAAAAAGAAAATTTTCCCATACAACAGTCTCATGTTCTTAGTAAACCTTTTGCAAAGACCAATGAGAATGTTGTTGCTTCAAAAACTTCAGGTCTCGACACTAATCCAACTAAGCTGCATGGCAACAGATTGACATCCTTTTCATCTAATCATGAGCACTGTCAACCTTCACAAATTTCAAGGAAAAAGTGTGGTTTGCCGCATCACCTCATAACTCAAAGCACACTCTCCTTCCCTGTGGTTACACCGAAGCCAGTCAAGAAAAATCAACACTTTACGGAAGAGACAACAGCTTCTCCAGAGCTGAGAGAAAGATTATCTGTAGTGAACAGCCTTCCGTTAGGTGCACCTATTCGTACACCTTTAGTCTTGAGAGATATTGCCAGAAGAGATGAGGAAGTTGTAGAACCACATACCACCACAACAACACCTCATGTCCACGTCACATGTGTATCCAACTGTAGAGACGGTTTTCCTGCTCAGCAGTGTCAACCACCTTCAGCACATACCACCACAACAACACCTCATGTCCACGTCACATGTGTATCCAACTGTAGAGACGGTTTTCCTGCTCAGCAGTGTCAACCACCTTCAGCACATACCACCACAACAACACCTCATGTCCACGTCACATGTGTATCCAACTGTAGAGACTGTTTTCCTGCTCAGCAGTGTCAACCACCTTCAGAAGATGGAAAGAGATGCATTTCGGGCTTGGATCATCTGGCTACTATACATACCCCAGTTTCACAGCATGGTTCACTATTAAAACAGAGTAGCACCGGCAAGCAAAGAATTTGTGTTCCACTAGAGAACGATCTTCAGAGAAATAGCTTGCATTGTTCTAATAAGTTTGGAACTCCACCGTCAGAAGTCTACCTAATTGAGAAACTTGATCAACTAAGTATGCAGAAAATAAGAAATGTATTACGTCCAGCAGAAAAATATGGAAACTCCTCACCAGTCTGTCAACGTGAGTAGTATTTCTACAGACATCTTGATATAACTGACTTTAATACTCTTGAAATATAACAGAAAGAAGTGTATTAAAGTTTTTGTTTGAAAGAATCGGTTTAAAGTTTTTTTGTTCTTGTAAGCAAGATGGTAGTCTCTAAAATTGTTATAGCTATCAGGACAAACTACTTCAAGCTAACTAAATAAGTTTGTATAGCCTTCAGGACAAAGTTTTCTTCAGGCTAACTAAATAAGTTGTTATAGGTATCAGGACAAACTTTTCTTCGGGCTAACTAAATTTCACTTTGTTCATAACACAGAAACAAGAAGACTTGGTTGCAAGGTTGCAAGTTTTTCTAAATAGTAGTAAAGTGAATTTAAGTAAAAAATAATAAATAAATGAATATTGAACATGTATAAATGTAAATGTGTTACTAATTCTTACCATAATTCTCACTTGAATATAAGTGATAACAGTTACAGGTTACTTACTAATTCTAGTTCACACCAAAATGGTCATCGTTCATTCAAATGGTGATTTAAATAGCACCCTGACCACTACTATGTCCCAATCAATCTAATGAGCCCTGGTATTGGGGAAAGGCCTCACCGGTACTAGATATAGAAGATCTAGGGTGCTTTATGTATTATTCCTATTTGCTCTCACTCATAAATCCTAAGAATTTGTATTTTACTAAAACTAGTATTAGTACTTCCCACAGTGTGACTGACTGTTACTTCTACTAGTACTTTCTACTATGACTGTTCACATGTTAAGACACATGATTTGGTAAATCTTTTTAATGTAATATTCAGTGATTAAATTAGGACTTTAATAAAAGTTGGAACTCCCTCTTGTGAAGGCCAGAAATGCTAATGGCTTAAATCCTCATGAGGCAGAATGCTGTTCCCAACCAGTCTGTCCTAATTTAACCCCTGATAATATTAATCTTTAATGCAGTGAAGATAAGTACTGAATAACCTAACAGTTTATTAACATACTGTCAGTAATCAAGACCTTACCATATTTTAATGTAACAATACTTAATAATCTTTATGTTCTGTGGTTAAGCTTATCAGCTTGTGTCCAGAGAACCACTTCTCAGCCTCAGAAAGATAGTTACTCGTCGTAACATGGATGAAGCTGTTGCAGATAAAGAATGTGCCTTGTATTCTTGTGACCACGGTTTAACGTCCCCTTGTACGTTAATCAACCACCAAGAACACAGGTCCATAAATAACCCAGTGGCCAAGGTTCTGGCTGAAGGAGACGAAATGGTGAGTATCGATACGATGATGTGGTGAAAGGTGACATGATCTAGTACATGTTGGTATGGTCTCATTTGTAATGATGTGATCTAGTACATGTTGGTATGGTCTCGTTTGTCATGATGTGATCTAGTACATGTTGGTGTGGTCTCGTTTGTAATGATGTGATCTAGTACATGTTGGTATGGTCTCGTTTGTCATGATGTGATCTAGTGCATGTTGGTGTGGTCTCGTTTGTAATGATGTGATCTAGTGCATGTTGGTGTGGTCTCGTTTGTAATGATGTGATTT